TAATTTTGTCCAGTTTGTGTTTATCTCTTAATAAACAGGTAAGTTTGTTGTTACCAATCATTGTGTTTTATTCAATCTCACCTAATTCAGCTGGCTAGATTTTATCAAGAGTACTAAAACCCTTTTCAACATGAGTCTTACAACTAAGGCTAAATACTTTAACTTAAACTTAAATACATGCTCGGATAGGCTGGTATCGGCCAGTTTCGGTATCGGAAGTCCAAAAACAATATCGGTATCGGATCGGAAGTGCAAAAAACCTGGATCGGGACATCTCTAATTCCAGAATCTTAAAAAAACAACAACAAGGCAAATGATCAGCACCAATCTCTTTGATACTTATAGTTTTCTTTTAATTGCAGCTAAGACTCCATGTGTGTGATGATTGTCCTCTGAGAGAAGCAAAGGTTCACTGATCTTTATTTACTGTTTGTGAATGAAATGTCAACTTATGATTAGGTCTACTGCCAAAAACAAAAAGATTAAACTGAAGCTAAGCGGTTCAGTGCTTTTATTATTTTGAACTTTCTATTCTGCTATTATTTCTGCTCTTTCTTGACATCTCCAGTGTCTTTACTCTCGGGTGTGCTCTGTCTCTAACCCTTATCCGCTCCTTTTCTTCTTCACAGTTCACTAAACAGAAACTTTATGATTCCCACTTGCTGCGTTCCTCTGCCTTCAGTAGCTCAATTCTTGAGGGACTGAAAGCAGAAGAAGCACGTCTGGCTGTCCAACATGTTCTGAAAGCGTAAATCTCCAAATATACGAGAGGCGACGCGTGTAACTCAGCCAGGCTGTCTTCACATTTAACAGATGTTATTCTAGGAAGGAAAGTTCTCTATTTAAGTGGAACGGTTGGATCCCAGAAAGATGTTCAGCTGCGGCATGTGAGGATTGGACTTTTAGCCTTGTATGTTTTTCTGGGATGGTTCTTGGTGTCTCCTGCATGTTTGCGTACTCATGCATGTCTGATGATCTTGATTCTGCCTGTTTTAACATCTAAGAGTTAAACAACACCCACCACCCACATGTGAAAACAAATCTCAGACCCTTACTAGACAGTCTGTTTCTTGAGGCTCTCTGGGAGCTCATTACTGGACTCTTTGGGCTGGAAAATGTCCGTCAGTAAGGTTTCATTAAAAACCTGCAGTGCCGCCTGGTTGTGCTGTAATGAGAGGTCCTTCAATATTGGTCTCCCTTAGGGTTGAGAATAGACAGCTGAAATATCACTGGGAATCTGGATTACCCGTTAAGTCATTAGCCTTCCACCGTTAACATTTGCCAATTCGGTGACTGAGAACTTTGTGGCTCGTTTCTGTAATCTGCTTGAGTCCAGTTGCAGAAATTAATCTAGATCAATTTTGTGTTGGGTTTTATCGAGGCTACGCTGCTGAAGTCTCTCATTTATTGAACCTTTTGTCGTTGTTTTTCATTCCTTATTAGGATGGATCATTCTTAGGGAACTGTTTGAATGCTGGTGCTGAGCCAACTCACTTTAGATTAAAGTTGTTTTAACCTTAGCTTTTTCTGTTTGTGTTTGCAATCCTCAGCACCACTTACGTATATATTTTGTCCATTCACTGTTTTCCTTAGGCCTTAGTTGCCATGTCAAATGTTAAGGTTCATGACAGGGTAATTAAAAAAAGACTGAAGTATAAATTTTCTGGATGCTGCGGGAAAAGAAAAACCTCTTCTCTCCAAAAAATAATATAGCAGAACAGCATTCGGCTTTATTCTGTGTAATCAGGTTATTTTCTTCTCATCTGTGTTTCAGAGTCGCACACCCCGTGTGACTCGACTTAGCCCAACACAACCGGCTCTCGCAGACCAGGCCAACAGAGTCTCTTTCGCCTCAGCGGAAAATCTTGAGACCATGTCTGAACCAGACATCCCCATCGGCTTTAACCGGATGAACCGGCTTCGCCAGAGTCTTCCACTGGCCCGCTCATCCAGCCAAGCCAAGCTAAGGGCGCCAGGTCAGGACACTATGCTTCTGCTCTATAGTTTGGAGAACTGGGACATCTAAGCCCTTCTATTGGGTCTAATATAGATTAATATAGAATATATAATAGATATATATAATAGATATAATATAGAATATATATTGGATCATCTTTAGCTGGAGAATATTGTGGTGTAAGTAAATAAAATGTAACTGTATCAAACCTTTTGCAGAAAAGAAAAAGAAAACTAAATGAACACTAATATACTTGAAATTAAATGCAGTAGTCCATTGAAAAATCTGGTTGTTTGAATGTTTCTTGCGTCTTGAAAGAGGCAGTGGAGGCGGCTGTTCAGGAATCAATTCTTATAAATTTAACCTTCTTCTCTCCTCCTTTTTTTAAGAATACATTTTATGTCTGTTTTTGGGAAATGCACTGATTTCATTTTATAAAGAAAATTCAGATTTTATTTCAAGGTTAAAACTTACATTGTTTTCTTTTAAAGAATCTGCTGTGAAAATCGTATTACTTGTTTAGATAAGTAAAGGGAATAAAAAAAATTCAGTTTATACTACATGTTAGTTTTTGGTAAGATAAAATGGTTTTAGCCAAGTCTTTGTCTTTAATTGAGCTGTAATATGTACAGAACTGTGTTTTCTGACTGACTCAGCAGAGATGTTGACTTCAACATAAACTGAGAAGAGCTTAACATTTATCAGGCTGTAAAAAAAATAAAAATAAAAAATCCCATAAAGTCTTCACTTTGGAGCATATTTATTATGCCTTATAGATCATTTTGAATGGATTTTTTAGATTTAGCTTTCACCTTTTCTTTTTTTTTTGTAAATTCAGGCCACTCCTATTCTGAAACTAAACACCTCAAAATGGTAAAATAAATGTCATAATTTCGTTAGATTAATATTTTATACCTTATGAATAGCTGTGTTCATGAGAAAAGGTAACTATATCCATTGGGGGAACATTTTCTGAGTATAGTTAGGATGAGTTCTATAAAATCAGAAGTTTAATTCAGTTTAATGCCCTGGAGTTGCCAGATGCGTGTTCACATAACTCCAAGGAGGAAAGATGTCAGCAATGCCTTTGAAAATCAATGGTTGCTGAACTTCAATCTGACATTGAATCACTTTAAAGTCCAGAATTATATCCTAAACAGATAATAGAGTACATACAATACTAGAGAAGATTAAAAGAGCTTTCAGTCCTCCTAGGAGTGGATATCCCTGCATACTAACTCTTATAAATGATAAAAAACTTGAGACTATATCTCCTATCTAGCTTGATTTATATAAAGGTTTATGACATGAGAGATGGAAAACGACTGAACAGGTTTATAAAGGCAATTATCTTAGAATGAAATGTTAAGCTAACCATCCGATTGCTGCTGTTTCATCTGAAATGGGTCATAATCGCAACAATGATCCCAAATAAAGCAACAATTCAATGGTAAAAGATTCTGGTCAGGATGAATTGAGGGAAAATGTCGAAAAAGATAGAACCAAATAATTTCTAAACAGGTGGACTGACTGATATTAGGAGCCTTTAGATTAAAACATTTTGTCAGATTTACATTATTATTATTTTTTTCTTTCAATTAATTGGGAGAATAGGACTATCTTTTTATTGAAGATGTTTGAGTCTGTTAAACTGTAATACTACTTCTTTTTACTTTTAAATGCGGATAGAGATTGTCCTTTTAGTACTGACCTTTGGCCCCTTCATTCAGTCTGAAAGAGTCAGCATTTTGACATAAGATCAAGTTGGTGATGACTTGTTTTAGTCCTGCTGCTGCACCATCACCCGGTTGACCTAAATCATCAGCAGCTAATCACATTCACTCTGGGCTGAATCTGAGCTACAGATTTGATTGTTTTTAATGCAAACCGGTGTTTCTCCACATGATCCTGTCAGACCGTCTGTCATGTCTGATTAATGGATTCGTCAGGAAACAAATTCACCTCCTGAGCAGCAGCCCTCCAGCTTCTGAAGAGGACAATGCTGAGGCATTTAGTTGCAGACTGAAACAGTGGGACACTTCAATCATTGTGATTGTTAGCATTTATGTCAGGACCATTTACCGAACAGTTTATGATGCTTTCACTGAATATTTTTTTTTACAAACCAAATCTCAGCCTGTGGCAGAGCTTTTGTTTGTCATTGTTAAGTTATAAATACTCAAAATCAGACCAAAGCTAAATATTTCCCTCTCCTAGCTCACCATCATATTTCAAACTGGAAATAATGGGAGATAAATTAGAAATAAAAAGTGATATCTTTCTTTTCTTTATTTTTTTAAATTCTGAAATCTTCATCATTGCTCCTCTTCATCCATCTGTGCAGGGATCCTGTTCCTCCAGCTTGGGGAGGAGATTCGCAGGGTGCACCTGACCCACGAGCTGACCAGCCTGGACACCCTGAGGGCCCTCATTGTGCACATGTTCCCTCAGAGGCTGACCATGGCTATGCTCAGGTATGGATGACTCACAGCTGTGCATGTAAATTATTAGCCCACTGAGATGTTTATCGATCTGTTTTAGATGCTGTTTGAGCCTCAGCAGGGCTACATTTACACTTCATTTAGTGCCAGCTTTAGAAATCTATCTATGATTGGAAGGCAAAGATATATGCAAACAACTAAACATTATGAAGCTTGTTTTACACGGTTGGTTTATTTCAAAATTTAAAGGATTTTAAAAGCATTTCTCCAAAGAAAATGGTTTGCAGCTTTGGTAGGGGACCATCAGATCTGTTCAGCCATGATTGAAGTTCAAATCCTCAGTGTTCTAGCAGTTAAGATTGCATCAAAACTAATATGTTTGAAAAATTGACAAAATACCTCAGCTCAACTCAGTCTGCTGTTTGCTCTGAGCCTCATTCAGACCAAGAGCGATTCTTTTCAATTTGCTGAGGGTTTTGAGTCAGCAGAGAAAAGCTTAAAAACTAGCAATAGCTTCAACGCATAAGAGGAGAGACCAACTTCAGATTATACCACAATATTATTTACGTCAGAAAAAAATTCTAGCTCTTACATCCCACAATAGAAAAGAGAAAAATACTAAAAAGCAGCATCTCATTTATCGAGGTTTCTGGTGTAGTAGAAGTATTATTCTGGATTGTGTTTTAGATTGCTACAGTTCATTTTTGGTTTAATTTTGTTATGACTGGATATTTGTTTTCATTGGGTTTTAATATAATAGACGAAAAGCTCTTCATCTTTGTATATGTAACAAATTCTGCTCTCTTCAGACAAGAGCTTCAAAATAGAATCCCAAATAAGTGACAAAATGAGCTCCATTGTTTGTTGAGTTCTATGGCATTGATATCACTTTTCAATTTATCTGATTGTAGAGGAAGAATGATCACATCCCATGTTAAACAATGTCTGAACAGACAGGACAAAGAGGGAATCATTAGAAAAGCTTAGAGGGTAAAATACGGTACAGGGGAGCTTTTTTAGCAGAAGAGAAGGTGGACAAAGTCTGTTAGAAGCTGCAGCATACTCGGGACTGGTCAACGGGGCCCCTTTTTGCCAGAAAACAAAAACAGGAATCATAAGGATGTAATGGACCAATTACATGAGGCCTAAATCTCTGGCAAGACAATAGATTTTTGGACCTTCTTCCTGTTCCAATTCACAGACATGGTTGTACAAATGAATGGGAAACTGATTGCAAATGCACAGCTTATTTCTGAAATGTCGGTCTGCAAAAAAGTTACAGAAACCATGCTTCCCCACAGCATGATACATCCCTTGACATGTTTCAACATGGAGTGAAATCATGTTATGTTGGAGTCGATTTAAATTAGTTTTATTTGTCCACCAAACATTTTTAATTTTGCATAAGGAGGCTGACAACCATTCCTGTGGCCACAAAAACAATCATTAAGAGCTGCTATGTGTAAAATTATCAATTTCTAGCAAGATGGACAGAAGTTTATGGTTGTGATGTTAGTTAAGAGTTCACTGACCTACTGTAGACTGTGAAGGGAAAAGAAAAGCTTGTAGATTTGATAACCTGTTAAAACTTGATGAATTTATTTTTCAAGAAATTATTTTTTAAACTAAAGATCCCATGTATATTTTAATCATCTGCTACCATGTTTACAGCAACTACTTGAAATCACAACTTTAGTAAGCTGACAAACTGTGGATCAAAGTCTTGCTGTTCTCGTTCACTAAACACGGTAATCTTAAAATGTTAGGCAGGAGGCATCTATCAGTTAACCGTCTCATGATCCTTCCAGTTATCTCCATAACTGTACAGTATTAGCTAAATGGTGCTGAAATTGTCTTTCATGGGGCTCTTTATCATTGATTTTTTATTTCCCCACAATCATTGATCTGCAGGTCCCCCAGCACAGCTCTGCTAATCAAAGATGAGACTCGTAACGTCTTTTATGAGCTGGAGGACCCTCGGGATGTTCAGGACCGCTGTGTAATTAAGATTTACTGCAAAGAGCCCATCTACGGCACTTACCCCGGACACCATAACCCCCACATCGCTAACGGAGACCTGAGAGTAAGTGTTCAGTCAACCAAATTATGAAAAGATTTAAGATTTTAAAGAGGTCTGCTCACATTTTGGAATCAACATAAATAACTCAGCTAACAGGGTAATAACCATGGAGAAAGTACTTTGGGTGTTTTTTGGGTGGTAAACTGCGAAGTGATGGCACAAAATGCTCTCCTTTACTCATCCCTGCGTCAGTGTTTACAAATACTGTTTGCAGTTACATAATACATCAGCGTTGAAGTTGAGAATCACATGACCTTATTTTCCTGGACCAGTTCCCATCTGTCACATCTTCGGCGCTGACTCGGCCAGATGCCAGCAGACTATAAAGCAGGAAGCTGTTCCACGATGACGCACTAGAAGATTGACTTATCTGACCGCAGGGACTAAGAACTTCGCATTCCTACAACCTGAAATGTTAATATACTGTATAAAGTGATGAATTCCTTTCAAATATTTTTAATTTTAGAAGTTTACAAATGCTGTATGCCCAACTTCACCTTCGTCCTTGTTTATTACAATGTATTACAACTCTTTACATTCTAGAAAAGCTGGTGCTGGATCATCCAGTCACCACCCAGTCTGATTCAGTTTTAAAAGTATTGAAACCTCCATAACTATCCATTTAATATCCTCTGCTTTCATTTACCTGATGCTCAGTTCTCGGAATTCAGTTTCTATGCCATATTATGAATAAGATGGCATAATAACATTACAAGAAAACAAAAACATAGCTTGCACTTGTTTATCTTTCATATTTTTAGGTTAAACTGGTTTAAATTCAATCACTGCAAAGTGGTGATTAAAAAAATGTTTAATATCTTTCCATCCCATCATCTCATTCTTGCAGGAAAAAATGGGTTTTAAACAGATAAATTGTGTTGTGTTGAGGCAAACATATGCCATGCTTATTCAGTAAAAAAAAATAAATCTGCATGTTAAACAGTTTAAATGAATCAGCTTCAGGGAGAAAGTGTTTGCTGATTCTTTTGCAGCCCAACAGTTCAGAGTTTTGTTTTTTTTGTTTGCCTGCTCCGATGTCTGATTGCTTTTCTGCCTGCCGCTGAGGCTGGACTGCAGCGGCCCGCTAATGTTCTGGAGGTCAGCTGTTCCCATGGGATCCGCCGCCGCCTTCAGCTTTACTCTGAAATCTTCAGAGCGTTTTACAGCCTTATCGAACAGGCAGGCTTACCTCCAGTTTTATGTGTGTGAAGTACATTGGCTGCTGCTCCTGTTGTCAAGGTAAGGACTGGGGTGTGTGTGTGCAGTGTGGAGTTGGGGGGGTAGTTATTGAACTCCTGCCAGTATAGCCAAGATTATTCCCTGATTGCAGAGCACAAAAGCATGACCAGGACTGCTGAGGCCAATCTGAGCCTGTGCCTGGAGGGCAGAAGATGGTTGGGAAGGAGATTGATTGGCAGATTTTGCTCAAAGGGAGAGCGGCCAGCTTAAAACGACACCACTGGAGAAAGTTTAGGGACCACAGGGTGATAATAAGATGTCGGCATATCCTCTGTGTAGTTAAGGAGGGAAGCTGTTGCTAAGTTACAAGGTAGAAGATGTCTGCTGTGAGGCTGTCCTCAGGGTGTTGTTGCAGGAGTCCTCAGGGTTATTATGTGGCAATATTGGCGTTTCAATTTGCACCGTCTCCTGGAGATAGCCTTGTGCGTCATAAGCAATTACAGCATTGTCCTTTTTTCATGTTTTCTTGCCTCATTCATTACTCTAGTCTGTTCACCCTCTGCTGCTTTCAGACATGCTCAGCTTTGCTTCCTCCCTCTCTGACATGTTAGGCTGATATCAAGAGAGTTTCTCTATATCTTCAGTCAGTGAGTTATTATCTGAATGCATTGAAGGGGCACTTCTTTCCAGAAGAAATGTAGCTACTAAGAATATTTCAGTAAATTCAGTTTTCCTACAAACTATGGTAACAGTAATGATTATTGCAGATTTTTTTTATTTATTTCTTGGGTTGAACAAGTTAGGTGAACTGGTTACAGGTATATGTATAAATAAACAGAGCTATCATTTTTGATACCTCGTGTTTTTCCCCCCAGCTGCTGTTACACATCATAACAACATTGATTAACCACAGACTGAGCTGCAAAGCTGACATTTCCCAGACTGAGAATATAATTAGTTTACTTTGTATGCCTTGTAGACATTTATAAATCTGCTCCAAGTCTTAAAATAATGTAAATTTTTTATGATTTATATCTGATTATATTACAAATTACTAAATTATTTAGTTTCTCTGTCAATAATAAAATAATAAAAACAAAAGGAAGCATAATATGGATTTTCTTAATTATTTAAATTAGTTATTAATTGATTAAATTTAGTGATCCAATTTCAAAAAAGTGAAATCCTTACATTTTTCATCTCACATTGTCTAAACATCTGTGGATTTTTTGATTCTGTTTGGCTTCTGGCTAATAGAAACCCAACTATTGATTTTTTTTAATGAAAATTTGAATATTTAATAAAACTACTACAAATGTAGCTAGGCTTGCTTAGTTTAAGCACCCATTGCTTAGTTTGGGCTACTTTTGCATGAATTACTGCATCAGTGAAGAGTGACACGAAGGTGATCAGTCTGCAGCTCTGCTGAGGTGTTCAGGAAGCCTTTAATAGTGACTTTTTGCTCATCTGCACTTTTTGTTTCAATGCCATCGTCTTCTAGACCAGTGGCCCCCAAAAAGTTTGGGGGCCCATAAACCGGTTTAATGTCAGACAATATTTTCATGAACCTTTCTGTAGCTGTAGTTCTCTTTGGCTGCTATGGTAACATTATACATGTCTTTAAAAGAAGACCCCACAATGGATGAAAGAGGGATGAAAACAGCCTACTGTCTACTCACAATAGCAGCAAAGCAGTGGGAGCCCTGAGCTTGCTTTGCTACAACAAGATGGAGGGGTTTTAAAACGGGAGGTATCATGTGGTGACAGTGGCATTGGATCCAACAGTTTTCCCTGCAACCAAAGGGTCATTGGTTCCAGCCTGATTCCTTCTGATGGTGGTCAGTGGCTTCTGTCAGGGCAGCTGTGGCTTCAATGTAGCTTGCCATCATCTGTAAGAGAATGGCTAAATCCAAAGTAAGGAACTTTGGTCAGATCTCCTAACTCGAAAAGCACTATAGAAGTACAGGCCATTTATCTTGTGAGTTATGGTGTCGTGGCCACTAGATGGATGTACTGTAATAGAGATAATCTAGTAATTGTTCAAAATAAACATTCATCATTCAATCAATCAGTTGGAAATAATGGAAATTATGTATTCTTTTTGTGTGGCCTGGTACCAAATGACACCAACCGGGGGTTAACGATCAGCAATTCCAAAAGTGTGGGGTCAGGATTCCATTTGGGAAAATCACGGATAATCAGATTAAAAAAAGCATTGTTGAGATTCACAAATAAAGCGAAACACTACAAATTATAACAGTAAAGCATATTTATATGTGTAATGATAAAACCTTAAATTATAAACACACAAAACCAAATACATTGGTTGTTTATGTTGTTTTTTTACTATGACACCAATGAGGAATTGATGTTTTAAAAAACTAGTTAGTTAGTTAGTTAAAAATAGTTCCATAGGTTTTATATTTTACTTTTCTGTGGGTCAGAAGCAGAAAAGTTTGGGAATCTCTGCTCTACACATTACAACTGGTTCTCTCTGGAGCCCAGGTATTACCAGTTTGATGGCCATTGAAACAGTCATACTTATTGGTAGCCTACTTCTCATCTGTGAAGGTAAAACATACTGCTGGAAAATTAAATTCTCTCCATCAGGCTTGGCATCTGAGGACACCATGAAAGACTCTTTAAATGCCTCTCAGAAGGCTTCTCTGAATTAACGCAGGATAAAATCCATTGAAGAATAATCACTGATTATGGAAACTTTTCACTTAACTTCAGGCCACATAGATTCTGTGGCTCTCCACTTGTTCTTTAGACTCATGAACATAGATTTCCAAATAAAATGTAAACAGAAACTTTACTTCTATCTGAAAACAAGGCTTTGGGCTGCAACTTATGCCGTTTTTTTCTAAACCCTAAGCTCGGCTAAGGGCTGAACAATATGGCCAAAACATCTAACTTTGGATAAACTCTTGTAGATATTGTAGATAATACTTTTTTTTTTTTTTTAATCATCCTATTAGGATTTTTTTGTTACTCATGTCAAAGCTGAGCTGTTGTGCGTCCTACATGGTCTACAGTACGTGCAGCATTCTGTTTTTTATTAATCAGATGCTAAAATCTGAGACTGCAGGGATTACTTTTTTCAGGTTCCTTTTCCCAAATCCTCAATTGACAACACTGTAAACAAAGACTGTAATCTATATTGTAATACTGGGAAAGTGTTTAAAATTCATATTGGCATTAAAGATTATAATTCTACCCAAATACATTTACATTAAATTATTCTCTAGCCCTAGCCTATGAAAGACATTTATGATGTTGTTTCTGGTTCATCACTAACACAATAAATATGATAAATGTTGTCCTGGATGTGTCTGTATTGTGAAGAGTTGACTACAGCCATGGTCAATACATTGTGGATTTCTCCCAAACTCTTGAATAGGCCAATTCAGATTGCTTGTACACTTTTTTTCTCTCAAACTTTTTTCCTTCCACTGAATTTCCTATTTTTATTTTTGATTTTAAGTCTGTTTGAATAATCAACTTCTTTTGCAATTATTTTTATTTTTATTTCTTTTTGTGAAAGACTGGCTGTTGACCAACAGCAAACTTAGATCAACAGCATTTCTTTTGCGTCATAAGAAAATAAAAATCTAATCTTTTTTATATATTAATGCTAAACAAAAAAGAAAAAATGTATATATAAGAAAAGAAAATATACATAATGATATATTAATCTGAGTTAAGGACTTTGAATATAATGGAGGTCAAAAAAATTACTAATAAGTTATTATCTTGTGATGTCATATGTTTTATCAGCTGCTGGGGTTTACGTACCTCTGTATCAAATTTCTTGTATTACGGTCCAGTATATTAAGAGACCTAACTATTAGTACATCTGTTTTTCAATTTTCTTCCAGAGGGAAATGGTGCATGCTCCCCAGGAATCTCCATCAAACCGTCGCCTTGGCAACCCTGCCATGTCTTCCCAGCATTCTTCCTCCTCTGCTTCGCCTCCTCAAGGATCGCCGTCTCGAGCCCGACTGCTCTACAGCTCTGGGAGGCCTTCTTCTTACGCTGGCCCGCCCCACCATACCCACTCCCTACCTCACCCACACTCCCAGTCCCACCACTCCTCCCCCCTTCAGCAGCCCCAGCTTCACCAGCCCCACCACACCCAGTCAGCCTTCTGCACCTCCTCCAGTGCCATCCTGGAGCGTAGAGATGTGAAGCCTGACGATGAGGTGGGAGGTTCCAGGAGTATGGTGCTGCTACGAGGAGATGGAGGTGGTATTTACGCAGACCCATATGCTCTAGGCCCAGACACAAGCCGTCTTAGCCTTGCAGGAGGTCCTCATTCTCCTCTGCCAGCTCGAGCCGACCCTTACGCCTCTCTGTACCGCCGCGGAGGAGGACCAGGTCCTGGATCAGTTCGGTCACTCACCTCCTACACTGCTGCAGCATTACAGGGAGAGTTAATGGAAAGTGGTGTTCTCTACAGGCCTGGAGGGCCCCTCTACAGTGACGCCTACACAGCTTCCATGTTGGCAATGGGACTGAGGGTTCCACCACCCTCTTCCCCCCAGAAGATACCTGATATGAGGGATTCCTACGGGGCAACTATGTCAACTCGGGGCTCTCCTGGGAGGCAGAGTTTGAGAAGGGATTCTGTTACTTCCTCTGTGTTTGGGGACAGCCCCAAAGCCCGGGGCCAGGGGCCAGGATTGGGTTTGACAGCAGAACAACTCTGTCTGATCGGAGGAGGAGATGGAGGAGGAGGCGCCGGAGGCTTCGGTTCACCACTTATTGGGAATGAGACAGAGACCAGGTAGGTAGGCTGATATGGAGCCTGTTCAGATTCATATCACATACAGAGAAAATATTTCCTGCATTCATAGTGTTTACTTATGAGCTATACACATCCCTGAACATCTCGATAATGTTTTGTTGCTTGGTTTATACTTTATCAACTGTTTCCATATTATTTCTGTGTTTGGTAGGTCCTTTTGTCACTGTTAAGCTCTTTTCCCTCTGATTCATAGTGAGATGGTTTAATCTGAAGAGTAATGGATTTTTTGGATGAATATTTTTGCTGCTTTTACAATCTTACCTGAAATTGATAAAAAAAAAAAAAAAATGCTGTTGGATTATGCTAAATAATAAACATTGAAATATGTTGCTTTGATTTGGCTGTGGAGAGGTTTAGAAACAGAGACAGTCCCAACATTTGCAAGTTTACTTTTCAAAGGGTGAGCTGTTCCTGCCCTTTGTGGAATTTTTGGTTCTGTTTAGGTTTCTTTTTGAGTTTGAATTAAAATTTTTATTTATGTCATTCTGTGCTTTTCAGTAATTCGTTTATTTTCTGTTTGTGTTTTTGGAGTCATTTGATAGTTATATATAAGAGGTGTTGTGTTTTTTGTGTTGCTCTCTCTTGCCCTCTTGTGCCAGTCTCCTTTCCCCTAGTTTCTAGTTGCTCCCATTCACACCTGCTCCCTATCAGCTGATTACTCCAATCTTTCTTCAGTCTCCCATATATACTCTTCCCGTAAACTTCCTCTGTGCTGGTTTTCTTCGATCCTCATGTGTGTTTCTCACCGGCGTCTCCTGGTTCCCATTTCTAGATTATTATTCTTATTCCTGGATTTGTGTTTCTGTTGCCATCTAAATTGCATTAAATGTACAAGTCTACCAAATGCCTACTTATCTCTGCATTTGGGTTCTCAACCAATTTCCACCCAACTTGACATGACTGTGGCAAAAAACTGGAAGTAAAAACTAATATGGTAATATAGTAAGCTTTCTGAAACAAAAAACAAACTACTTTTTAGGTGAGAATGTAAGTTTGTAAAACTGACATGGGAAGGACTAGGTGATAGGAAGAGGGACAAGGGTCAGAACCCCCCTTCTTGGACATCTTATGCAAAACATTACCTATTGTCACTCATGTGCAATATTTTTCTCTCTCACTGTGCAATAACACATGCCGTAACACATAATACAAATAAATTACTGTATAATTTTCACTTATTTATATTTTCAATACATTTCTGCAGTACAAATGCAATATCCCAAGTCAACTACTATGTAATCTTCCCTCACCTCTCTACTGTGCAGATATTTTTATGTCAAAGGGAAACATATTCAAGGACATTACACCTTTTCTTTTTTTTTCTCTTTTGTATTATATACACTCTTTTTATATTGTCTCTCGTATTTTCATCTTTAATGGCATCTTGCTTTAACTCTTTGTACTCTATATAAGCTACTGGAACCAGAATTTCCCTTAAGGAGTATTCCCAAGGGATAATAAAGTTGAGTCTAAGCCTATGTTCAATTAAGTTACTGTGCAGTCAGTATAATTTTCATTTATTTAGATTAGGAAGTTTAGGAAGATGTCACTCAATTTCAAAAGGGCTCCAGCATTTTTTACAATTTGACAGCAGACCAGCAGGTGTGACCATCCTAGTTTCCTGATTAAGTCCCAATCCAACCCAATTCCCAAAGATTGATTAACCTGGCAGTAGTCAGATTGATATATGTGGAACTCAGTTGAGTTCTACAGTGTGAGACTGAAAACTCAGAAATCGCGACAATCCAGCTTGCAGCTCAAGGTTAGCAGGCTGTTGCCACTGAATAGAATCTATAAAGATATAATTTAGTCAAATGATATTGAACATTTAACATTTGGCCTATTTAAGAATTTCTTTTCTAATTTAGCAAAATAGTTTTGTTCATATTGAGGTGTAGAGATATAATGTCTTTTCTCTGACTAAGCCCGGTGACCACAGCACAACTGGTTGAGATGCTAAAGAATTAACAAAAGAATAAAGCAAAAAAAGAACCAGAAGATCTGGATCCGGACAATATTTAATGTGGCCTTGATATTGTCAATAAAAACATTTGACTTTATGATCAACTACCTGATATGTTCTACACAAATAATAGTTGGAATATTCCTTTTGTAGAGGCCTTTAACCAGATTGAACAAGAGGCACAATTGGAGCCATCATCTTTATATAATCAATTTAGTTGATGTATAAAATTGTTTTAAATTTAACAATTACAACTATGTGTGTGCTGTATGTATTTGTTGATGCCAGAAATAAAATCTTGTTGAGTCTTTAAATTCAATTTATTAAAGTTTACTAAACAAGAATCTTGAGATCCGAGTCCAAGGGTTGGACTCGGATCTCAAGAGACTGATATAAGTCTATGGAAATACTTATTGCAAATCTAGTCCTGCACACCAAACCTCTACATGACATTGTTATTTTTAAGGTTCCGGCTCCCCTTTATGGATTCTCCTCCTCTTCATCACCTTCTTTTCATTCTGTCCATCACTATCTACCTCTTCCTCCTTCTTCTTCTCTCTTTCACTGCTAACACACTTTTTCCTGTCTCTCTGCCTTAATTTCATGTCCCAAATTGACACTGGTGTCTTAGTTACTTTAGAGATTATAGAACAGATTAATTACTTATAAACTTAAGTTGTAACAATGTTCTCTGCCTAATCTGGAATGTAATGGGCCCATCTAGGCAGTGTCTGCTAACCTGCTCAAGCTGAAAACTGCCCAGCTGCTTGCTGATAAACTGTCACTTTGTCTGGCTGCAGGAAATGTAAATGCATCCATTTTATTGAAGGTCTTACAGTGCCTTGCAAACATATTCAGCCCATTTGAGCTTTTCCATGCTTTGCCTCATTTCAGGGTTCAGATATAAAGACATAAAATTGTAATTCTCTGTGAAGAACCAACAACAAGTGGCGCACAATCATGCAGTGGAAAAAAAAGAATTGGATATCCAAAACTTTTAAACAAATGAAAACTGAAAAATTGGGTGTGAAACAATTCTGCAGCCCCTTTGAGTTAATACTGTAGCGCCACCTTTGCTTCAATTACAGCAGAAAATCACTTGAGGTACAGTATGGCTACCAGTTTTGCACATGCAGAGGCTGAAATTTTTGCACATTTTTTCTTGCAAAACAGCTCGAGCTCAGTGAGGTTGGATTGCATCGAATTTTTCGTCTCTTTCCACAGATTGTCGATTAGACTCAAGTCTGGACTTTGACTTGGCCATTCTAATACCTGGATATGTTTATTTGTGAACCATTACATTGTTGGTTTTGCTCTCTGTTTTGGATCATAGTCTTGTTGGAAGATAAATCTCCGTCCCAGTCTCAGGTCTTTTGCAGAATGCCACAGGTTTTCTTCCAGAATGGTCCTGTATTTAGGACCCATCAATTTCAGTTTTACACCGGCCAAACGTACATTGTTGCCAAAAGTTAGAATTTGGTTTCATCTGACCATAGCACCTTCTTCAACATGTTTGCTGTGTTTCCCAGGTGGCTTGTAGCAAACTTTAAACAACACTTTTTATGAACATCTTCAAGAAATGGCTTTCTTTCTTAAGGCCAGATTTGTGCAGACTGATAGTTGTCCCATGAACAGAGTCTCCCACCTCAGCTGTAGATCTCTGCAGTACATCCGGAGTGATCATGGGGCTCTTGGCTGCATCTCTGATCAATCTTCTCCTTTTTTTAGCTGAAAATTTAGAGGGACTGCTGGGTCTTCGTAGATTTGCAGTGGTCTGATACTCTTTCCATTTCAATACTATCACTTGCACAGTGCTCTTTGGGGTGTTTAAAACCTGGAGTATCTTTTTTGCATCCAAATCCAGCTTTAAACTTCTCCACATCACTATCTCAAACCTGCCTCATGTGTTCCTCGATTCTTTATGATGCTGCAGTTAAAACAGACTCCTGAGACTATCAAAGATCAGGTGCATTTATACCAACACTTGATCATACACAGGTGGATTATTTTTATCATCATCAGTCATTTTGGTCAACATTAGATAATTCAGAGATCATTACTGAACTTCTAGAGAGAGTTTGCTGAAAGTAAAGAGTCTGATACATTTTCCATGCCCCACTCTTCTGTTTTTTATGTGTTAAAAAGTTTAAACATCTAAAAAAAAACTCATTCCACTTCATGATTGTGTACCAGATTTTTTTTATTCTTCACAAAGAATTACGATATCATATTTTTATGTTTGATGCCTGAAATGTGGCAAACGGTTGAAAAGTTCAAGGGAGCAGAATATTTTCACAAAGCACTGTGAGTGATCATTAATTGAACATAGGAAACACAAGTGCACATTTAGTCAATTATGAATTACTTTCAGATTTCAAAACAATACAACAACATCAACGTTAATTTTCTGCCATTTTAGAAATTAAATAGCTGACCATAACAAACCCATGGTCATAAGCATTGCATGTGTAGCAAAACCCTCTTCAGGGTAAAATGGCAATTCAGCTCAATTTTAAGTCATTATAAGGCTTTGTTCAAATGAGTCAAAGTGGCTGAATAGTTTTATCTTTAAAGTCGCCACAGTTTTTCCATTTAAAAAGTGTCTTTTTAAACGTTCCCATTGAACAGCAGGTGACACAACAAAGATGTTTCCTGTCTATGGAATCAGTCAAATAGAATCATCAATGTAGGAAATGCCAAAAGCATAACCATTTGTACAATATTTGAATGAATCTACGTCTTTGTTTGATTTGTCTTGATATTTTTCCTATAATGAGGTTTCTGTGATATCAGGTGCCGTTTAGACATGCATGTGTAGTGATTCCTTTAGAAGCACGAGTATTAACGCTTAATTGTAAAGCCACTAGATTACCATGTCACTACATTACCCTGCTGGCTGTGATGTGTTTAACACCTTAGTAGTAGGTATATTAAATTTCCACTGAAAAGTCAAAAGGGAATCATTTAACTAAAGTTTTTTTCATTCAGATTCATACCCTTTCAAATAACTTTTTTTTGACAGATTTTCGTATGTTTTTTGTCCGATAGGCATGAGATTGGATAAGTAAAAAAGGGTGCAGAGTCCAATAAATGCTGCTTTGGTTTAGGACAGTTATACATTAAAGGACATAGATATTGAATTACCTGTTAGACAATGTCGACACCTTTGTATTTAAAGTTGCTTTTGGTGAGTCTCACGTCGCCCCATGCTAACATGGTTTACAATAGTTGGTTGAGATAGATCTGTTCATGCTGCTTGACTTCACTAAAAAAAACATGGCATCTTTTATTAGCTACATCTTGCTAGTAACCACTTAGACCTTCTGTTCCCTTGCTGTGAGCTGTCCTAAATTTTCATTTTGTAGAAAGAAACAAGGGTTTGCTGTCCACACCACAGCTGCTCTTAGAATATCCTATGTTTCTGGCAGTTCTGAGTACTGTTTCTAAAAAAAAAAAATAAAAAAAAAAAAGAAAATCCTTGAAGATCAGTAGAGAACCAACAGCCATCGTATCCTGAGTCATAGCTCAGACAGGCTGACTCATTTTAAACTGTGCAAAGTTGCCTTTATTGTATCACGACCTTGTTATGAAGTTAAGTTAGTTACCATATAATTTCACCATTTTGCCATTCATGTTAACAAGCAAAATGCTCAATAGAATTTAATATTTGCATTGAACTGATTTGACATTTTTCAAAGAAATGTAAAGCTGTTAAAACCCTGACTGCTCACTGTCAACAGATAAAAAACTATATACTGTGAAGATTCTGCAGGATAGCTGAAGTTATTTACATGATATGATTTATGTGACATATTTTACAGCACTATCTACAATCAGCTATAAAAATCGTGTTAAGTATCCTGATAATCAACAGGTAAACATCTCTTTTTCTTTATTAATAAACACTCAAATAATATCCTTTTTGCAGAATTGAGGTTACGAAAACACCCGGTTGATGTTTTTGCTGCTTGTATGGAGGCGATAAAGGTTTCCATTTAGACTGCAGAAGCTTTACAAGAGTAAACAGTAGATAACACAACCCGAAGCTGTTTTTATTGATGCAGGATATTTTATTCAAACCCATTTAAAACCTGTTTTTCATAGATAATAACTACATGATTCCTGCCTCACTAGAACCAACAAGACAGTGGATCATACAGTATGCATTTCAACGTGGCTGTAGCCTGTAAAGCTACACCCTTCCCCCCAAATAGGACAGTCAGGACATCTTTTTCTCTACTTTAAATATTTGTCACCTGCCTGAAGAAACAGAATTTATGCTGCAGGTTCATTTCAAAAACAGAAACTAGACTAAGTTTCATGTCATCTTGTCATCCCCTTGCAAAAATTCAGTTATTTTCCCTTCATCTTAGATAATATCCTTCAGCATATATGTCACCATGTTTACAGATTAGAAGGTCTGGATAGATAAATGGCGCTGGTGAGCTATACCAGGACTCAATCCAGAGCATCCTAACCTGTGTTTCAGAGTGTGGTACAGGAAATTGATGTAGGTGTTGTGTTGGGGAAGCTAGCCAGTTTATCACTTGGGCTGAATTTTCTGTTAGTGAAAGATTCCTGCTGCCAAGAGGGGTTTTTTTTGGGGCTCCTTTATACACAGCATATTTTCTGGAATCAGTATTTTGCACTATTGTATATATAGTAATAGTAGTTTTATGCACTGCTCATCAAATATCTGTATATATCACCATATTACTATTTCAAGCTGTTATGGTGAAATGAAATCTGCTTTTCATTGCCTTGAACTTGTGAAATACCCAATGAAAATAAATCTGAAGTTGAATATTAACCCTAATCTATTTATTCCTATATTTTTTTTTGTTACTTTTGTTTTTACACGTTTAAAAACTACTTAAGACGACCAAGCTGAGGCAACATTTCTATTTGACAAATGCATCGGGTTAATGTGAAAAGTTTGAGTGTATTAAATCCTTTTGTTCTTATTGAATAGTTTAGGGTGATAATAATATAAAAATATATAGCATATTACTCTACTATTGATATATTAATAATGAAGTATTAATAAAAGATCTCTCTCTAGACACACACACACACACAC